TCTGACAACAGTCACAGCCCCACAGTAAGAGGGTGTGCACACTAATGCAACCACATTATTTCAGTTTTTTATTTTTACTTCCCACTGAAAAACAGATTTCAGTTTGTTTTTCAGTTGAGTTGTACAAGTTATAGGTCACATTAAAGGTGGCTAAAGTTCTGGAATTATTTATCTTGGTCTTGTTTTTTTTACATCACAGAAACCTGGCATTTTAACAGGGGTGTGTAGACTTTTTATATCCACTGTAAATTAAAATTGTTATGTGCTCAAAATTTTGTTCAGAAAAAATGGCATATTGTTGCATAGGCTAGTTTGAGGAAGGGGCCGGAGACAGAAGTTGCTTTTTTCTGTGCTCTCCTGAGGCCCAGGAAGCAGCTCTTGTATTAGCACACACACACACAGATATTTGCACACAGCAACCAGAGCACCGAACAATTCCCACTAACCGCAAACTAATACATCCCACCCAGAAGGGCATTATGGGGGATTCTGCCAGGTGTCTCATTGCCCCTAATGCTCTGCCTAATTTCTTTTCAGCTGCTAGAGGGTCTACTGAGACTCCAAACAAACTGACACTAGTTACTCATAACTGCCCTTTAACCCCTCCCATCATGTCTGGTTTCCTAGGGACATTGTAAACTAAAGATGCCTGGTTGTGACAAACTGTACAAAAGACAGCTTCCAGTCCAAAGCTCGCATTAGCTGACTAGCAAGTACATTTGGTAATTCAGTAGAACACTCTGGTTGCTGCCAATGTTGCACAAAGCTCAACCTAACTCTGAAATTAAAATCATATTAATTCAGTGTAATGGTAAAATCATGACTATGGTTGGACACTAATGTTACAGAAACAAACATGTTAGCTTTAGACGCCAACACATCCAGAAAGAAGAACACTACATCCTGTCGCATTTTCACTTAAGCTATCATTGTGTAAAATCTTATTTAATGCATCTTGAAATATGTTTAATTTAATTTGTATAGATTTTAAACATTAAAATCTGAATTGTTTTGTTATTTAGTTGGACATATAGGTTGTAAAATTCAAATTTTATGCAAGCTGGGAATCATGTCTAATTATTAAGGGTGCAGATTAGAATGAAGCTTTGTTTCTTCTTCAGGAGCTTGACATTGGAGCACAGCATATAAAGCTTTACCTGAACAGCACATTGGTGTTTGAAGGTGAGCTGGAGAAGGGCTGTGGTAACCAAGTCTTTGACTACAGCACCACAATTGACCTTAAGGATTTCCAGGTCTCAGACTCCTTGTTTTCCAGTCCCGTGTCATCAGGACACAATCTGCAGGGTGTCAGACACCCACTGTGCCATGAGGACAGGAAGGGTGGGGAGGGCAGCAGCGCACAGCGACACCACAGTTCAAATCCACAGACTGTTGATGCAGCAGGTCAGGCAATGATGGACATTCAGGACAAATCACAAACACCACTACCACCCATCGCTCTTTCAGCAGTGGGGGTTTCATCCTCCACTCGTTGCTCCTCCACACACAGAAACTCTTTTGACCTGCCTGCGTCAGAAGAGGTCCTGTCTCTGAGACAGCAAGTGGAGCAGCCAGCGCCCATGGAGCAGACAGTCACCACCCAGCCATCCTCCTCATGGGTGACCCCTCAGTGGCTGCAGCCCCTGAACAGTGGAGCTCCAGAGGGCTGTGAAGTCAGCAGGGAAAGGCCCCGGTGGCTGGTGCCTCAGCACTCTGCACAGCCCAAATCACCATCAACCTCATCCTCTTTAATGCTCCCGGAGCTGCCGTGTAACCCGGGTCGGGTGTGCAGAGGGATGGAGAGGACAGTGAATGGGGGTCAGTGGAAGGCTGACTCTCTGGACCTGAGCTGTGACCTGCTGGAGGAACTCAGGGACCAAAAGCCAGACAGGCCCATTAGTGGACGCAGGAGCTCGTTCCGAAATGCTGCAGTTACCCCCAGACAGACAGAGGAACAGCATCTCAGAGCCACTGCACTATCAAACACAGGTAGGAGAGGCTACTACCACCGTACTGTATATGTGGTTGAAATGGTTGAATAGTATGTGCTTATTTCACCTTTGTGGTTTATTTGGCCTTAATATTAACCACACAGGCTATCACACTTGTATTATTAAATGCTATTAGTAAATTTCAGACATTCAGAATTAATTTTATCATCATTTATCATATTTCCGCTGTTTGACGTCAGTGGGGTACTATCTGAATCATGTGGTTTTATACCTCTCATCACTGCCTCCCTATACGAAATGCTGCTCCCTCAGTCACTTTTAGATGTTTGTTCTGAAGCAGTCACCACATAGAACCTGTGTTTAGGGTGTGTTGTTATGTGGTGCCTGTTCTTTACTAGAATCCTTACACTACACCTTACTGAGCAGCCATTCGTTAATCTGGACTTTGGTGTGTAATAATGTCTGTGCTTCTGTATGGATTAGCTTTTGTCATCCTGTAGTTTTTTAACCTGTAAAATCAAACATTTTTAATTGAAACTTTGAAGGAGACTCATCTCAACAGAGGTCTGCTTGAGGTTAAATGAGATTGTGGAAAGAGGTGTTTTTAGGATGTCTGCCTTATACTTTACAATCCCTCCCAGATTTTATAATCTCCCAGACTACAAATAACTACATTTAAAGAACAGTTTGTTGGATTATAGAGATACTAATTTTTCTAGGGTACAGTACATCTCCTATTGCCTGTGAACACACTTTAAAGCAAGTGAAATGATAAATAATCAAGTTTAATGTAAATTGGGTTCATTTGTGAAATTTAGAACTTCTTAGGAGTGAGACATTTTCTGTATTGTTGTATTTTGTGTTTGATGTTAGATGTTAAAGCAGTTTGCAACTGTCAAAGAACTGGCTTATTTCCTTTAGCTCGTTAGTAATTAACACAATGTGTGTATTTTCCAGAGGACTCAGTGTCTTTGGTCAACACTAGCAGGAGGCAATGCTCCTCTCGGGCCCAGCTGCACAGTCAACAGGATGACACCCTCAAGGAGTCCTGGGACTCCCTCACAAAGTTTAACCAATGCCAACGTGGACGCATCTCAAACATGGGCTTCGAAGGTGACATCTTTGATGAGTTCCTCCAGCGCCAGGGTCGTGGTCCGTCCACAGTCCCCGTCAACCCCTCCACAGCACCCAGGAGTCCACTTTCCTCCGTGTCTGCTCAGGGGGCACTGTGTGAAGACCCTGATGATGAACTGTCCATGGAACGTGAAGATGAGTTTGAGATCCCGGTGTTGCCGGAGGGCCAAAGGTTGGTCATCAACATCCTGTCCACCTGGGGCGATCGTCATTATGTCGGCCTCAATGGCCTGGAGGTGTTTAGCTCCAGGGGAGAGCCCCTTCGACCTACTCACATCCGTGCTGACCCTCCAGACATCAACATTCTTCCTGCATACGGGAAAGATCCACGTGTTGTCACCAACTTGATTGATGGCATCAATCGCACCCAGGATGACATGCATCTCTGGCTGGCACCGTTCACCCCTGGTCGTAACCACACCATGTTCTTAGACTTTGGAGCTCCCTACCAAGTTGCCATGATTCGTGTGTGGAACTACAACAAGTCACGCATCCATTCATTCCGAGGGGTGAAAGAAGTAGAAATGCTGCTGGATGGCAGGTGCATCTTCAGGGGAGAGATTGCCAAGGCTTCAGGGACCCTGTCTGGAGGCATGTGGATAGAACCACCTCATGGGTTTTTAATGCTCCGTTGTGTGTCACTTTTGATAACTTTTTTGTTTTGTTGTTTTTGTTTGTTTTTTTAAACTCTGTTTCCATTTCAGGACTGGACCAGTTTGGGGACACTATCCTGTTCACCACTGACGATGAGATCCTGGAGGCTATGTCTCATTACGATGAAACCTTTCCTAGTGAAGCTGAGGGTCCCGAGAACCTGGTGTATGAGGAGGAGCTGCAGAGACCACGTACCGCTGATGGAGAGGGGGAGGAAAGGCCTTTCACACAGGCCGGTTTCCGAGAGGAAGACCTCACTGTAAGTACAGGCTTTACTAACAGTGGGTACAGGTTTTCACAGTGTTTTATCAACTTAATTAGTTTTAAATGTGAAAGTCAAATGCTTGTAAATTTGGGCACCTTATTCTCAGCTGTGACAGTTTTAACGAACCAAACTTGACCCAGGACATTCAATCAGTCTATTCAATAAAATGTGTTTAGTATTTCCACAGTGAGGAGGAGGGATGGCTGAGAATGTAACAAGCATCACGAGTAAATGAACCATCACACCATCACCAGGAGAGTGTAATACAATAACGTTTAAATGTGTCCACATGTTTGCTTAGTTGAAACTTCACCTCAGCCCCACTGTGAGCCAGTCTGATGGGAACATGGACCATATTCCTGGGATGTACACTGGGAAGTGTGAGCACAGTAACATTATCCTGTCATTGCATGTTCACTTGTATTTTTGCCTAGTGTTTAGCTTTGAATGCTCACATTAATCATCCCCCTTCATCCCAGGCCTTAGACTAGAGCTGGCGTTGACTTGGGGTGACGCCCACTACATGGGTCTGACCGGATTGGAAGTGGTGGGGAAGGATGGAGAGAGTTTACCTTTAGACTTAAGTATGGTGGCTGCCTCACCCAGGGACCTCAACGACCTGCCTGAGTATGCACATGACCTGCGCACACTTGACAAGTACGCCTGACAACAAATGTGTTGATCACAATAAACATCCACACTTTGATCAGATTGTGATTATGTTTGGTGCTGTCTCAAGTGTCTACTTTCATTACCCAGGCTTATAGATGGCCACAATATCACCACTGATGACCAGCACATGTGGCTGATTCCTTTTTCCTATGGAGAGCCACACACCTTGACCGTCATCTTCAACAAGGCCCAGACTGTCGCTGGACTTCGTATCTGGAATTACAACAAGTCCCCGGAGGACTCTTACAGAGGGGTGAGACACTTCCCTGCTAGGCTCACACATTATTTGTTAGGAAGATGAAGTTGTTTCAAAAGACAGTTTCCTTTACATATACATTGAAATAGAAACAATAAACTGTATATATGAAACAGCTGAATACTGCTCATAATAAGCGCTGAAAAACAAACTAGGATAAATAATATTACATCATCAGTTGCCTTTACTGTATTTAGACCCAGAGATTAGTTGATGTTTTCGGATACACAATTGTCTAACAGAGTAGAAAACATCAGATCTGAATAGAATCACACACTGAAAACTCTGCTTGTGTATACAAATTAACTCCGTAAGCTTTTAAATCTACTAATACTACTGTAATACTACTACTATACTACAAGACATGGATTACTTGTATTGTGTTTTACATTTAACAAAAAGGTTCCAACACATAAAGCATACAAATCTCTGAATACTGGTTTCAGGTGAAGGTGATCCATGTGTTCATGGACGATGTTGCGATCTCCCCAAGGGAGGGATTCCTGATCAGGAAAGGACCAGGCAACTGTCATTTTGACTTTGCCCAGGAGATCCTCTTTGTAGACTTCCTCCAGACATCCACCAATAACATGAGTGCTGAGGACTACCACAAGTAGGAGCCAGAGTTTGTATTTTCATGTACTGCTACTAACATGAGAGAGTTTGAAATTTTCATTTTCTAATTCATCTTTTTTTTTTGTTTCTAATTCAGAGGAAGCTCTAGGAAACAAGAGCAGGCCAGCATGGACTATGAAGCCCCCATAATGCCTTGTGGCTGTATCCTTTCATATACTGATTTAGTACTGACGTATGGGTTGGACAGCGGTGTTTACTGCCCCTGTCTGCATTGTCAGTTCAAAGGTAATCTTCACATATTTGCAAATGAAAACATCAGATTTGTGGATTCAGGCACCATTAACCCATTTGCATCAGTTGATTTGGTAATAACATAAGCATGCACATGTTCACTAACAGATTTTATTTAATATCAAAGCACAACAACAGGCTGCAGAATGGAGGAGGAAGATCAGGGATGGATGTGTGTCCTGTCATTTCAGTGTACACCCATCAGCCATAACATTATGACCAACTGCCTACTGTGTACACAGGAGTCAGCGCAGCAGTTGGTTGGCATTCATGTCACTCTGCAGCTCACTGTGCATCTTCTGTGAATCCGTTAGCTTCCATAGTTCTACTGTCTGGGGGAGCACATCCATGTCTATCATTCAATAAAAAAACTTATGTAAAAGGAGTGAAAACTGTGGTTGTGAGGACAAGTTAGAATTTTTAGACAAATTCAGCAGCCTTCCTACTCTAGGTGTGATATCACCACTATAGCCACTGAATGTCTCTCTTCATAGAGACCACTGTGTGGTGTTACTCATTTTCACAGATTCAAACAATCTGGAATCTTTTGAAAAGGATGAATGAAATTTAAATGTTTAATCTACAGTAGGTCGACCTCATCATCAGTGAGCCGTGGGCGTCCATGGCCCTGTCGCTGGTTCACTGTTTGTCCTTCCTTAGACACTGTTGGTAGGTACTAACCAATGCAGACCAAGAACACCCAACCTGCAGTCTGGGAGATGCTCTGACCCAGCCGTAAGCCATCACAGTTTGGCCCTTGTCAAAGTCACTCAGATCCTTCCACTTGCCTGTAGAACTGGATGTTCATTTGCTGCCTAATATACACCACACACTGAGAATCAATGTTATTCACTTCACTATGTGTGGTCATAATGTTATGGCTGTTTGGTGGACAGTAATATTGGGCTGAAACCAGTGATAGTTGTTGGAAATACTGTGAATTATGTAAATGTTATATGTAACTGTCGCAGTTGGCTAACAGGCTGATGGTGCTGGCTAATGGTAACAGCTAGTCAAGTCAAGATTTTTATTTGCTATTTATGCATAAACAGACAGTCTAGGCATATAGCAACTCTTGTGCAGCTT